TCTCCCTCTCTCCCCTCCTTTCCCTCTCTCTCCCCTCCCTCTCCTTCTCCCCTCCCTCTCCCTCTCCCTCTCTTCCCCTTCTCCACTCTGTCCCCCTCCTCTCTGCCTCTCTCTCCTTTTCCCCCCTTCTGTCTCTCCCTCTCTCTTTATTCCCTTTTTCTCCCTCTCTACATCTCGCTGTCCACATTTCTCTTTCTTAAGTTTCTGTTGATCTGCTTGCATACCTCCCTCTCTCTCCGCCTAACCGCACTCCCTCTCCCTTTCCCTCTCCCTCTCTCTCCCTCAGCACTTGGAAGCTGTAGAATAGTCAAAAGATGGTGAGCCGTGGTACATTAGATGCCTGAGGGATTGCCCGAGAAGAACAGCAAAAAAAAAAAAAAAGAGAAGCAAAAAAGTCAAAAAAGCTGAGAAAAAGAACCCAAAAAAGAGGACGGGAGATGAAAGGAGGGAGAACCAAGGAAAGGCAAAAAGAGAGAAGGCACAAAAAGGAAGCAAAACAATCGAAGGAAAGAAGCGAAAAAAGATGGAAAGAAAACAAAAAAGGAAGTATGAGACCACACTGACACTAGGACTTTTGCAATGAACCTCTTAGTTCAACACCAATGAACGCACATAATCTCCACATGTGTGTATGGGATCACACGAGAGTCACACTGACAAACCAGAGAGATTAAGATCAGTTAACGCAGCTTATGAAATTCCAACAAGTTAAACAAGAGCAATAAGAGTTCCGGGTCACCAGCGCACAACAGCGCATAACATAGGTAACCAAACATCCAACATGATCACCCAGGTAAGTATCTTCTTCCTTCCTGCTCTTCTCTCTCTGTTGTATCACCCCTTCTTGCTGGTCTTCTCCCTAGCTTATGACCTCGCTGAATCTTCTCTCCCTACATGCATGCACACTCACACTAACTTCTACTCAAAGATCTTCTCTGAATACACCCACTGACAACTCTACTAATCCCTCTGAAGTCTACTACTAACTGCTAGTACTAACTCTTCTGCACTGGCACAGCTATGGCTGCCTTCTCCTTGCCAGCGCTATCTTCCTCTCTCTTCCTCACTTAGCGCAGCACTCTGGCCTCAGTGCTCTGCTCCTCACTTCAGCGCACAAGTGCGCCAGCACTTCCACACTTCTTGCGAATGAGCAACCTGACTGAATGTGAGGCTGGCCAGTCCCTTTGTAGTCCTGGTTTGCACTTCAACTCGTGCCAGCCTCTGTTTCTTGGGTCCTGACTGGTTCCGGTACCACATCCCCACGGCCTGTCTGCTACTGAATGTCAAGGCGTGGAACCTTCCCGAATTTCCATTGGGCTGCTGCTGCTTGGGCCTTTGAGTCGTGACTTTTCACTTGTGAACATGACTTTTGACCGTGGACAGTGACTCTCGCCTGTGGGTCACGTCTTTTGCCTGTGATACTACCTTTTACTCGTGGGATGTGTCTCTTCTATATGACTTTTCATTAGGAAACGTGACTCCTGCCTTTGAGACATGACTCTTGCTTGGTGAATCTGCCTTTTCACTCGTGGGATGTGACTCTTGTCCCTGAGACGTGACTGTTTGCTGGGTGCCTGTTGGACCAGACTGCTGAGGTACCCGATTGCGACTTTTCTGAGTTTGACGAACTCGGCCTTTCCTTGACCTGGGCATCTGACCCTGAGGTCCGAATTTGGGGTCTGAATCGTGAAAGGCCTTTCACTTTTCTGGATGTGAAGGATTAATTACGGCCAGCCCTGGACGTATCTGACCAGAATTAGAGCTAAATTAGATTACAGACAAGGCTGAAGGTGGGTAATGGCCCTGGTACCTCAAATTGTCTGTAATCTATTCTTATGGGACGCTGGGCCCGGTTCTCAGCATATGTTGCTCCCCACAAATAGATTGGAGCATGGCTTGTCACAGGAAAAAAAAAAAAAAAAAAAAAAAAAAAAAAAACAACTAGAGTGTCTCTACTGTGAAGAAAGTATCTTCTCTTAAATCTGGCACGCTCACATCGATGAGCGATCCAGGCAGGGAACGTAGCGATACTACCTGCCAAGTGGTGAGCGTAGTGAAACAGTTTTCACCTTTGGCAGTAGCCGATGCAGATCTCAGCTTACCTGTGTACAGTATCTGCACCGTTCCCTGGAGTTGAACCCGTGACCTGCACGAAAGCCAGTGGTAAGTAGGTCGCCGTAGGTTGTAGGCTGTAGGGAGATTCGAACTGTAGACCTGTAAGGTAGGAGTCCAAGTAGAGTCCAGAGGCCTAGCTTTAGTCCTTCTAGAAGGTCGGCAAGTGGTCAAGTGGTGAGTCTAAGGTAGGCCCACATTTTCAGACGAAGACAAGTGGCAAGGTCAACAGGTAGGACCTCAGTGCAACTGCACTGAGTCGACGGTACGACTGCCTACAGTCAGCAGAAGGGTCTAGAGAGTCCCAGTCCAGTCCAGCAAGTACCACAGGGGGACTGTGAGCACCAAGGGCCAATGGCAAAGTGCAGACCAACGAATTTCTGAAGTATAAATCAAGAGGCAGCGCCCAGCCATTCATTCATTCCTGCGTGAGCCATGCGGAAGCGCTGCCACAGCGACTTGTGCGAGGAGGTCTGCCGATGAGCCCGGAGGACGCAGTGGGCAAGAGAGGAGGAGTTAGCATAGCGATAGGTTAGAGGCAGCCATAGCTGCAGTTAGTAGTGAGTGTGTGTGTGTGCTCGAGTGTTAGAGTGATGCGTGTGGGATATCCAGGGTGATCCAGTGTATGTGAACAGTGAGATGTTTGGGCGCTGAGGTCGCCATAGCCAATTGGGAGTGAACTCGTATCTGAAAACCATATCTCTGAATTTTGAGTGGGCGCATGTCGCCAGTATGCTGCGTTAATGTTTACATGTGTGAAAAGTGTGTCTGAAAACGAGTCTGATTGCATTGGTATCGGAGCCGGTACCCGCTATTCCATGCGCGCCGTCGTAAGCAGGGCCTGATGCGCCATAGCCGAGGTGGNCATGCTTCCAAGTTGCTGCCGTGTGTCACAAGTGAACAGTTCCCCTTGAGAAGATCCATGATCCCTCCGGATATGGATGGAAGATACGACATTGACGGCATTGTAGACGAAGATGTGTTTAGAACAGGAGGTAGAGGTCGTCCCCAGAAACAGTAYAAGGTTCGRTTKGYCTACCAGGAGCCGGAAGACGACCGCTGGTTCACAAGAACAGAACTGTTGGAGACAGCCCCTGACATAGTGAGGGCTTACGAACGAGATAGGAAAGGCAAAGGTCCAGTCTTGGATTGAAATATTCTCGGAGGACCTCGAATTTAGGACGGTGGGTGTGAAACAGTTTTCACCTTTGGCAGTAGCCGATGCAGATCTCAGCTTACCTGTGTACAGTATCTGCACCGTTCCCTGGAGTTGAACCCGTGACCTGAACGATAGCCAGTGGTAAGTAGGTCGCCGTAGGTTGTAGGCTGTAGGGAGATTCGAACTGTAGACCTGTAAGGTAGGAGTCCAAGTAGAGTCCAGAGGCCTAGCTTTAGTCCTTCTAGAAGGTCGGCAAGTGGTCAAGTGGTGAGTCTAAGGTAGGCCCACATTTTCAGACGAAGACAAGTGGCAAGGTCAACAGGTAGGACCTCAGTGCAACTGCACTGAGTCGACGGTACGACTGCCTACAGTCAGCAGAAGGGTCTAGAGAGTCCCAGTCCAGTCCAGCAAGTACCACAGGGGGACTGTGAGCACCAAGGGCCAATGGCAAAGTGCAGACCAACGAATTTCTGAAGTATAAATCAAGAGGCAGCGCCCAGCCATTCATTCATTCCTGCGTGAGCCATGCGGAAGCGCTGCCACAGCGACTTGTGCGAGGAGGTCTGCCGATGAGCCCGGAGGACGCAGTGGGCAAGAGAGGAGGAGTTAGCATAGCGATAGGTTAGAGGCAGCCATAGCTGCAGTTAGTAGTGAGTGTGTGTGTGTGCTCGAGTGTTAGAGTGATGCGTGTGGGATATCCAGGGTGATCCAGTGTATGTGAACAGTGAGATGTTTGGGCGCTGAGGTCGCCATAGCCAATTGGRAGTGAACTCGTATCTGAAAACCATATCTCTGAATTTTGAGTGGGCGCATGTCGCCAGTATGCTGCGTTAATGTTTACATGTGTGAAAAGTGTGTTTGAAAACGAGTCTGATTGCAGTAGTACTCCGATACCCCTTTGCTCACGCTCACAACCCCCTCTCAACCCATTTCAACCCCCTTTTTTCAAAGTTGTACCCCCTTTCCATGCCATTCAGCACTCTCTTGTACCCCCCAAGAAGCCCGAAGTTCCCCCAACGACTTCGACTTGCATTTGACATGCGCACATAACCATACCCATTCAAAGCTGACAACCCCCTTTCAACCGCTTTCAACTCCTTTCAACCCCTTCTTCACGCCTTCTGACCCCCTTTTAAGTTGTCAGTTGTGAACTTGTAACCCCTTTTCACACCATTTACCACTGACTTGTACCCCCCATGAAGCCCAAACACAGTTGTTGTTGTTTTATTTTTTATTTTAAAGCTTGCCTCAACTTCGACTTGCATTTGCCATGCAGAGTTGTTGTTGTTGTTGTTGTTGTTCCATACCCATTCGAAGCTGACAAGATGTTTTCCTCGTGGGAATTTCTTCCCTTTTTTTTTTTTTTAAATCCTCGTGGGCCTTTCTGACTTGTCCGGTTGGCATGGACAGGTGACCTGAGACCTGTTCGTGCCAGACAACCTGGCTGGATGCCCGGCGCAGCCAGCCTTGTGGCGTGGTCGACAAATCGATGATTAGTATTGATTACCGATCAGTAATTGGTTTTTAACCCTGACACTGCACAATTGGAAAGGCCGTTCAATATTCTCAAGTTCTTCACCCACAGGGGATGCGAGTCCTTAACCAGCTGTTGTAATGCGAGGATTGAGTTAGCATACAGCAATATTGCCGACCATACCCACAAAAAAGAGAAAAGAAAAAAAGGACCATACCATGGGCGACACTATAATTCCAGCTCTCTGAAGTTCTGCCATGCATGACCGTAGGATTTCATATCGTGGTTGCACCGATGGAGGGCCGATGTACGCCTTTATGTCTGCTCTGTCCACGAATGCTATGTCTGCGAGGGCGGGGAAGGGAGACAAGACACACAAGACAAGGTTAAAAAAAAAAAAAAAAAAAAAAAAAAAACCTGAAGAGAACAGTGAGTTTTGCAACCAACCTGGGACATCAGTTAAAATTGGAGCGATACAGAGAAGAATAGCGTGGCCCCTGCGCAAGGATGACACCCATAAATCGAAAAGAAGAATTGCAGAAACGAGACTGTTCTTTCGAGTCTTGACAAAGATAATTTAAAAATTTTACATTACAGAAATTTGATTGAGGATTAAAAAAAAGGGAAAAACAGTTGCAGCTGTCCTTCAAGACATCCGTTAAAGATTAGCATGGCCCCTGCGTAAGAAAAAGGAAGGGCAAAAGTAAAAGGCAAAAAATTGCTGTGCCCAGCTGGGCAGGAACGGCCAGGTGGCTGGGCGGCTCGCCCGGGGTCTTTCCCGCTGGGGTCCACCCCAGCCAGGTGGCTGGGCGACTCGCCCGGGTTTTTTCCTGCTGGGGTCCACCCCAGCATGTAAAAGTCCAGGTCAACCACGGCCAGGTGGCTGCGCGACTTGCCCGGGGTTTCTCCCGCGGTGTGTGCAGAAATGCCCTACCGAAGAAAAAACTTGCGGTGCCCAGCTGGGCAGGAACAGCCAGATGGCTGGGCGACTCGCCCCAACTCATTCTTTCGTCAGTAGGGCGTTTCTGCACCCATCAAAAGCAGCCCAAGTCCGGGCTTTTTGTTTTTCAGTGTTGTTAGTTGCGGAAGGGCGGGAGGGCGGTATAAATGGGATTTAAACGGGTTTAAAGGGGGGAGACCTTAGTTTGAGTTTTTTACTTTCTTGTCCATCTTCAATTCAATCAGGAATTCTTAGGTACCCTCACCCAAAAGTTGTTTGCATTAGCCGCTCACCCTCAGCCGCGCCCAGCGCCCGTGTGCGACCTTCCCAGCCAGTGCCCAGCGACATCCAGCGCCCAGAGTGGCAGCGCTGTCGCACAAGCCTCCAGACAGAAATTGTCTGGACTGGAGGCTGCCACTTTCCTTTACGGAAAGTGGTGGCTGCATTCCAGCCTCCTGGGTGGACACGCTGGGTTCCCAGTAGCTTCACGTCAAGACCCGGAATCTGCGCCCACGCCCGAATTCAGATAGCGGCTTGGGACTGAATTGGTTACAGCAGCCTAACCGTGCGATGCGGCTGCTGCTGTTAGCAGCTCTCCTGTTGGCCGGGAAAATTCAGGCCACGTTGCACTATCGCACGGACAAGGGCCTGGTCTCACAGTCCCATGGTCTGGGCCTTTCTAGAACCTGGCTTCCAAGGCCTACCCGCTTGCTGAGTCGTCAACCACCCACACTGGTACACCAACTGTCTGGCGTGGGGTCTAGGCTCTAGCCTGTTCGCGTTGAGCCCCAGTGGCCCTTTTCCCAGGCTTCCCCTTGACTGTAGCCCCCCATTCAGGGGTCTTCCGAGGCCCTAATGCCTATTGAATTGGGAAAGGAAAAAAAAAAAAGGAGAAGGTCACATCAATATAAGAATGCACACCATACTGAGGTCTCTTGATTATGAAAGCCATCTTCTCGCCTCCATCAAACGCACACAATAACAAAGTAGACAAAGCAGTACTTCCTGACTGCGGTAAGACTCGCCCTATACTACTGCTTAGTCTAGCCAATCTATCTCATCCACCATCCCGCTGAGCTCTGTCTGTTGCTGCCAATGACCGCTTGGAGAAGAATGATCAACCGTATTTTCGAGTTAGGAATACGTAAAAGGATGAGTGCCTCTAAACGAGCCCACTTGATAAGACCACTCAGATTGTGAAATAATGGAGCACAAATTTGTAACATATGTGTTCACTTGGAGCTCTCCCTGCCGACTGCGAGGTAAGCGTCCACCAACCTCACCCTCGGCCTCCTCACCATCCCCAGTACCACCTTTGTCCCACAGCCGCCCCGACCATGCACGGTAGCCAACCTACGCCTACAGCTATGACGCCCGGCTTCCCTCCCTACGCCTACAGCTATGGTGCTGGTGACCACACGGTTGTCCGTCCCCCATTCCTACTGCTCACGCCTGTCGACCTGGCGCTGTGGCAGCCAGTCAGCTACCTGCCGTCCGAATGTCCCCTTCACTTGCCCGCCCTTGACTTACATACAGTGGCCGGGTCTAGCTCGGAAATGGTAAACACCGCCTGCCAGAAGTATCTCGGGTCAATCGAAACCTACTGGGTCCAGGCAGTGTTCCAGATCCCAACCTGGGCCTGCCCGGCCTTTATCCCGTCGTCCTGGGACCCAGGGGCCTGCCGCCCTGTACTGCCTGCTGTGCAGCCTACCTTCTTCCCCCGAATACAATGTGCGGTCATCATAGCTGTATCTAGACTGAAAGATCCCTCAAATACAGCTATAATGAACATACGTTGTATTCGGGGGAAGAAGGAAGGGGCCTTGCAGATAAAAATGAAAGAACCAAAAAGAAGTTCAAAACCCACAGCAGACATGCAAAAGTTTGGACATGACCTTCTTTCAATCAAACTGATTCAAACAAAAAAAAAAAGAAAAAAGGGAGGGACAATTCCGACACCAGACGGAAACAAAGACCGGGGAGAAACTTGCAGATTAACCAACATGTCTCTGGAAAACAAATCCCTTTGCATGTGAATTTCTGTGCAAAATTCACCCAAAGTCAAGTATCTGTTTGCTATAGCTCCCATAGAATTGAACATTTGGAGGGAGAGGCGGTTAATGGAAGGCCCAAAATTCGGCGAATTTTGGCGAATTTTTCACCGAAACTGTCATATTTCCCTGAATTTTTACTATTTTCTCAGTTTTTCTTTTTGCCTGTTATATATGTGCTTTAGGGTATATCTGTATTCAGTTTCGCCGTATTTGAAGCAGTAACAAAAAACTTAGCAAAAACACCAGACTCGAAAAAAGCTTTCACGAACTCCGAAAGCTACTCCGAATAGGGTTTTATAGTGCTCTCAAGTTTGATTTTTTTTTCTTTTTTTTGCCTGGTTGTTTTTTTGATGTTTGTATTATGACCCTGCATAGTTTGTTCGCAAAAGTTTCGATAACATTGCTTGTAGCGACGCGGCAAAAAACCCTGAATTTTTGCC